AAAGGATACATATATTACTGACTGTACCCAAAGGGTTTCCTGCTTACTGTGGATAACTCAAAGATAATGAGAGCTTAACCGTGTTTAAAATCGTTACCTTCCCTCCCCTCTAGAACTTAATATTCAGAAGTACATACTAACTTGTGTAAAATTTTAGCACCTACTCCTCTCTCCCAAGATCCTGCTAGGAAGATGGATAGAAAGGAAAACCAGTTAAAACATGACAGAAGTTAGAATTAAGTTTTGTAAAGGTTTCTAAAATCCACACCATATGATCAGGGAAGGCGTCTTAGAGGAGGTAAATCCTGAGCTAAATTTGGTTTAAAAGATGGGTAACAGAGGCAAAGGGCAGGAAGCAGTTTCAGGCAGAGAGGAAACAAAACAGCAACACGAAGGAAGTCTTTTTAACAAAAGGTGCTAGACAGCTGGAGAGCACATGCAAATAGATAAAGCCAAACTCCAACCTCACACCATAAATAAAAATAAACATAAAATGGATCAAAGACATAAATGTATGAGATAAAATTGTAGGAATCTTAGAAGAAAATAGTTTAGACAATGATTTCTTAGCTATAACTCTAAAAGCACAAGTGACAAAAGAAAAAAAAAACAGGTTGGATTTCATCAAAATTATACTCTTGTGCTGAAAATGATACCATTAAAAAGTAAAAAAAAAAAAAAATCCAGAGAATAGTAAAATTACTTGTAAATCACATACCTGATGCATGGGACTACTATCCAGAACACATAAAAAATGTTTATGAGTCAGTAATAAAAAGAGAAATAATTCAGGGGAAAATGGCCAAAGGATCTTCTCTGTCTGAACCAAAACCCAAGGAGCTACCTCTGTGCACTTTCTAGCCTGATTGTAGTAAGTGTTGAGGAAACACTGAAATACTTGCTTGCAGGAACATAAAACCTTATTAACTATTTTAGAAAACACATTAGAATTTTCTCAAGAAATTAAACATAAATTACTATAAGACCCAGGAATTATACTCATTGGCCTATACCTAAAAACACTGAAAATAGGCACTCAAACAAATACTTATACATATGTTCAAAGCAATATTATTCCAAATAACCAAAAGTGGAAATAAACCTAATGTCTATCAGTGATGACACATGGTCCATGCAAACGGTGGGACGCTATCCAGAAATAAAAAGGAATTAAGCGCTAACACATACGACATCATGGGTAAGCCCTGAAAGCACTATGCCAAGGCAAACAAGCCAGGGACAGAAGGCACACACACTGTATGACTACTTTCATATGAAATATCTAGAACAGGCAAATCCACAGAAAGAAGAGATTGGTGGTTGCCTAGGACTTGCTGGGGATGGGGAGTGATTTGAATAGGACACAACTGCTGATGGAAATAGATTTCCTTTTTGGAGTGATGCAAGTGCTCAAAGCTTAGCTCAAGGTGATGGCTGCCCAGTTCTGTAAATAACCTAAAACAACCGCACCATATGCTTTGAATAGTGAATTCTATGATGTGTGAATTCTATGTCAACAGACAGGCAGCGCTGGCACAGTGCAGGTGGCCAGGGCAGGCAGGAGAGAAGGGTAGGAGCCAAGAAGTCTTATGGGTCAGACAAGGAGCCCAGCTGTGCTCTTGGAGTTAAAGAGAAGACAGCAGAATTTTAAGGAGGAAAGCAACACAGCAGGCTGGTAAAGAGATGCTCACATAAATTGTAACACCAGAGGGAGGCTGGAAAGTGACAGAGAGCTGCAAAGCACAGATCGTCAAATCTCTCTCCCTTGAACGTGGCCACTATTCCAATCCACATCTCCTTATTAAAGCCACCCAGACAGGTCCCATCCTTCTATAAACCAGGCATCCAGATCGTTAGCATTTTTTTTTTTTTTTTTTAAAGACAGAATCTTGTTATATAGTTCAGCTGGCCTTGAACTCACAACACAGCGCAGGGGGGCTTCTAATGAGCAGCAGTGCTCCTGCCTCAGCCTCCCAGTGCTGGAGTTACAGGTGTGCGCCACTCTACTTGGCTAGCGTGGTAACACTGTCACCATGTGCCCTGGCCACGTCTGCTCTCCTTTAGGCCACAGAAAAGTTTCTATCCCGCCAGTGGTGCTCAGGGATGTGGTCTGGAGTCTCTTCTCTGATCCTTCTCAGATGTCACCAGGATTCTTTCAGAGAACCTTAAGAGTAATGGCCATCACACCCACAGCCCTTGCCTGACCACGGCAGGGACAAGCAGTCTATTAAGGCAGCTTAGAGGAAAAGATGGTTGCAGGCAGCCAGGTCTCTAAAACTGCCCTGTGAGGGGCTGGAGAGATGGCTCAGTGGTCTAAAGCACCTACTTGAAACAAGCTTGGCAAAGCACAGGGACCGTGGTTCGATCCCCAGCACCACATGCCAGCCAGACCCGCCCCCTGGTGGGCTGAGCTGGCCACACACACACACACAATAAATAAATGTAATAAATAAAAATAAACAAATATTTTAAAAAAAAACTGCCCTGTGGATTTCATCTAGGAAGGGCATTGAGAAAACACACTTCCATCCTGTGCTTGTGAAACTGGTGCTCAGCCCTTGCACAAGAGAGCCCCAAGTCCGTTACGTTAACACAGACTCTAGGGCACTTACTCTGCACTTGGTTGGATGGTCAGCAGCACGCTCAATGAAAGCGCAGGAAAGGAAGATGGTGGAGGTGATACAGGGATGAAAAACTGGTCTAGGGCGGGTGACCTCCAAACCATATAGGGAACCTCCAAATGACATAGGGAAAAACTATCTCCTGACCTGACCTGCACGAGTTCGTGTTCTCTAAAACCAAAGAATGAATTTTAGGAACAAACGGAGGTTATGAGCAGAATATATTTATTGAGAAAAAGAAAGCTCCTGTCCAAGAGAGGGACAGGAGGGGGGGCCTGAGCGGGTAGTTCCCCAGGAAGCTGTCTCTTCCAGGGATTTTTATAGTGTAAAACCATGCAGGGCTAAGGTGGAGAGAATGGGAACTCACTTAGGGGGGCATGAGGTGGGGCAAAACTATGCCAATCAATGGGATTACAAGCACCATTGCTCAGGTAAAACTGATTAAATCCAGTATCAAATGAGAAAGCGAGTCACATAGCAAGCGGAGCGAATACGGAACAGGGTCTCTTCCTGTTGGGGGCTGGGCTAGTGACTCATTTGGGCTCTTTCAAGTTGATTGATACTATTTAGAGTATCAGTCCCCAGTGCCCATCCCTAGGGAAGTATGTAGCTGTGTTTCCTCTTTCTTTTGGCTTGGTCTTGAGATGTGGCCCATACGGGAGTGTCTGTCTCTTCCAAGTTGCAAAGTCACCTTGTCTTCCATCTTGTCTCCTTGAGGGCCTGGCCCTGTCTGACTGCCTATAATATTTCTGTCTAACTCTGCTGCCTGCAACAGAGGGACAGGAAAGGCAGCAAAGACACAGAGGGAGGAATTAACAGCACATCTGCTAGTCAGACCGAGTGCTGCTGGCTTAGGCCTTTCCCGAGAGACAAAACCAAGCAGAACAAAAACCAGAGACAGGATGACTAAAAGCATGATCCAGGGCAGCGGTGAGGGGCCTTAGAACTGAAAGGGTTTGGAGGCTGCTTCAAGAGCAGACAACCTGGAAGAAGAGGAAAGTCCCGACAGAGGGCAATGTGCTAACAGAGAGAAACATCTGGAGGGAACACGGAGGCGGCCTCTGCCATCAGCAGGAGCCCGGCGCTCGCCGCCTAAGCGCTGCCCTGCTGCGTTTACACCTCTCTGTACCACAGAAACACCAAGGCCTTTAAAGTAGAAACAAACTGAACAAGAAAAAGAGCTCTGCGGATGCGATCGGATCCAGCGCTGAGGAATACCGACACACAGGCGACGCTGTCTGCATCTCACAGAACCGGGTCTCCAGGCAGTTCCGGCACGGCACATGTGGGCTTCACAGCTGAGCCACTGGCGCTCTCGCCTCTCCGCCTCTGGCTTCTCCACGCTGATGGATCAGGAGCTCAGCCTCCAGAACCCCGGCCCCACTACTTCACTTCTTCATCCCCGGGCCCTCCAGGACCTCAGTGCTGAGCTGCAGATGATTACATCCGTGTAACTCCACGACAACCAAGAGGGGCAAGTGACCTAACATCAAGAGCGCACTTCTAAGACAGTTCCCAGCACACAGCAAGCACTAAAGCAGGCGAACTAAGGTAGTTAATTTAACGGGGTGTGGACCTGAGCAAGTAGCTTAACTTCCCAGGCCACGGTCTGTATGACAGAGCCGGCACTGGGATGTCCCCAGTCCCCACCATGATTAAGAGAGACCAGGTATGCACAGCACCTGCCCATGACGGACACCGTTCCAATACACCACCTTATTTAAAATCATCTCTTCTTTCACCTGCGCTGAATGTTGTTGAATGAAATCAAGTTATCAGTGAAATTTGCATTTCATGGATCCATCAATTTAGAAAAATGAATGTCAGCTGAAAGAAAAGTCTTGAAAATCCAAGGTGAAGTCATTAGGACTCAAAACACAACCCAGGAATGACAGTGAAGAGACTTTCTTCATTGCCTAAGAAGAGGACGAGCAGCGTCTGAGCAAATGAACTCCCTGGCAGGTGTCCCGGTGTGGGCCAAGTGGAAGCCGTGGTGGAGGGGCCGACAGTGCTGCGGGAGAGAGGACTTGGGTATTTGTGTTCTGGGGAGGACACTTTGGGTCTGGAAGTCCTAACAGTAAGTAGGGTGTTTCCCCTTCTGTTTCAAACTTTCACTAATTTTTCTTGTTAATGAATTAGAGATATTACAAGCCAGGCGTGGCGGTGCATGCCCACAATCCCAGCACTTGGGAGGCTGAGGCAGGAGGATTGCTGTGAGTTTGAGGCCAGCCCGGGCTACAAAGTGAGTTCAAGGTCAACCCTGTTTTGTTTTGTTTTTTTTTGTTTTTTTTTTTTTTTTAAAGACGAAGAGATGATCTTACAGGTGAAGTGTATGCTTGAAAATGTTTTAATTTAAACCACATCAAGGGAACATCTAACCTTTATGCGGTCAGGGTCCACATAGTGCTTTTTTTTCATGTCACATTCTTCAGAGGTGTAATTTAACTTGACGATATAAAGGATCCACACTCCAAACACAAGCAACATACATCTGGAAGAAACATCGATCAGGTATAATAATGCAGTCATGCGACAGTAGGAGACAAATGTGAAGTAAGTGGAAAACAAATCCAAACTGCCTGCCACATGACACAAGTGTAATCATTAAGGTCACCTCAGGGAAAGAGAAGGTGCCATTTCCTGGCAACTTTTATTCCAAAGGTATCACAATAAACTCTAAATTACAATGTAGATTACTGAACTGAAAAACAATAGATTTAAACTACAGAATCTCAGTGTTTTCACTTCTTTAGAAATTTTTTTGTTTGCTTTCTTTAGTATTACTTATAAAAAAACACAAAATAGACAATCTACTTGTAGTATTTCTGAAGAATTCCACCTAGAAATGAGGCTGACTGAAGTGAGACAGCCCTACTCATTATCCTAAGGATCATCTAGAAAACCTGTCCTTTCTCTCTCTCTCTCTCTCTCTCTCTCTCTCTCTCTCTCTCTCTCTCTTTTTTTTGGTGGACCTGGGGATTGAACTCAGGCCCCTGAGCTCTTCAGGCAAGCACTTATTCTACTGAGCTATGTCCCACCACCCCTCCCCTTTTTTTGGAGGCAGGGTCTCACTATGCATTTTAGGCCAACCTTGTGCTCCCTTTTGTGTGTCTTTTTTTTTTTTTTTGTGGAACTGGGGATTGAACTCAGAGCCTTGTGCTTGCCAGGTAAGTGCTTATTCTACTGAGCCATCTCCCTGATTGTGCTCGCTTTTGTAGCCCCACGCTGGTCTCAAACTCACAGCGATCCCCCTGTCTCAGCCTCCCCAGTGCCGGGATTACAGGCGTGCACCTTCACACCTGGTTCCAGAGAGCACAGCGCACCCAGGGATCCTGGGCCTACACAGGGCCAGGGATTGAACTCAGGTCCTTGTGCTTGCCAGGTCGGTGCTTATGCCTTGGAGCTGTCTCCCCATGTCCTTAAAGATTGGATCATTCATACCACATTGAGCACCCACATGCACATGTACACATGGGGATTTGGAGAAAGCAGCTGAGGACAGTGATGGTTCTAGCACTTCTCATCTTTATTAAGCTCCCCAGTGATGGGAACTAAAGGCTAAAAAAATGTTTAAACCTCAGTTTAAGAACAACTGCTGAAAGTATCCTATGTTCTTGGAAAACAAAAAGACAAGGAACAATTGTAAGGGGAATATAATATGTTTTCTAAAGAAAGGGGCAGTTTTAAAAATAAAGCAGCTACAATGCACTGCCCATAACTCATGCTAAATACTGAAGATTTGATGGGAGATGTCAGGGCGTGTGGGTGGGAGCAGACTTCTGGCTGGGCATGGCGGGCAACCTGGAATCCTAGCACTCAGGAGGCTGAGGCGGGAGGGCTGCTAGGAGCCTCCTGGATGACAGCCTGGATGACATGGGGGGACCTTGTCTCAACCCCAACTCCCCCATAAAAAGATGTTTGAATTCTCAACCACTCTCCACAAAAACCTGGACACCTATCTTAATCTCTCTCTGCGAGTGAGCATGCCATACTATTAAGTGAACAGAATGCTGCATTTACACATAAAAATGGGTTGGCTGAGTGGGGAAGAGACGCACGCACATACATACACAAACCTGGTCATCTTTAAGGGTGAAAGGGACATCTGGGTATGGTGGTGCACCCCTGTAACCCCAGCACTCAAGAGACAGAAGCAGAAGACTGCTGCGAGGTTGAGACCAGCCTTGGCTACCTAGTGAGTTCAAGGTCAACCTGAACTACGGTCTTGTTTCAAAAAACAAAAAACAAAATAAAAATAAAAAAGAACAGAAGAGAAATATGCGTGTGGTGACACATGCCTATAATCGAAGCACTCTGGGAGGCTGAGGCAGGAGGGCTGCAAGTTTAAGTCTGGCCTGGGAAACTTAGCAAGATTATATCATATTTTTAAAAACGGGTTGGGGAATGTGGCTCAGTGCGAAGGCCGTGGGTTCAAGTCCCAGCAGCCCCCTCATCCCAAAGCACACACCAGAAAAGTGGAAGGAAGACATTTTTACTAAGTGCTAAATAGCTCAGCAATTTTGCATCTTGAAAAATCAGTAGCACCTTTTCATCTCCTCAGCCTTGGGTGTTTTCTATTTAGTGCATGTACTAGAAAAGTTAAAGAAAAAGGTGCTAAAAGCAAGCGGCATCCACGGCCCATGCCCCACGCTCGTGGGCCCTGGCACGCATCTGCTGTGTCCGCACCTCCAGCAGATGGGGTCCAGGTCCTGCTTATCTGCAGCCACGTGGCTGGCACCCAATATCATGCCAGGCAGGCTGCAGACCTTCGCGAATCGTGATATTTTCCTTCCATATTTCCTGAATTAGAAAAGTGAAGTCAGGGACTAGATGTTGTTGGGGTTGTACTTCTACCTTTTCTTCCTAAAGATTTTTGACATTGAGACATCTTTAGAACTTTCAACTGTTTGGCTGGTATTAAAAAAAAAAAAAAGCCTGATAAGTTCCTCTCCTAATTCTACACCTTATTAGGACATGAGGGTGACCTGGGTGAAACATCCATCATCCTTTACTTGGTATTCAAGTGTCCTTAGAGACTTCAATCATGTTTATAGATTAGCTTACAATAACACCTACAGTCCTCCGCTCTACCAACTGAACTATCAAGGAAGTGATTAGCTTACAATAGCTAAGAGGAAAAGCTCCCTTTTGCTAAACAGAGGCAGGAGGAGCACGGAGCTGTTAGCTGCTCTCATGGGGATCCTGGTGCAGACAGGCCGCGCACGATCCTTCCGCTGTGTGCTCAGTCTTTCCGGGCTGTGCCTGCACATGGTCCTTTGACCAAGTAACTTCTCCAGCACCTGCCACTGCAGGGCTCTCGGTGAGCTTTTCTTGAGATTCTATACCACTGACTTAACCAGGGACGATCTTAGGGCCCCACAGCTGGTACCTACTTGAGGATGTCTTTTAATAGCAAGCTGGGTCTTCTCATCTTTTTCTCAGCATAGGTGTACCATTCCAGGGAAGGCCTTGAGCAATTACTTCTCAGTCTCACAGTGTTGTAATCATTTGGCATTGCTGCAAGGAGAGGGGGAGAGAGCAGTGAGAGAAGGAAGAGGGAAGCCTTAGGTGATTATGCTTTTACGAGAGACTTTAATGTGACAGAACTATAACATGGGCTGCTACGTGGAAATGAAACGTCTTCTTTTTGGCTTTTTGTGATCCTGGCAATCTAACCCAGTGTCTAGTGCACGCTAGGCAAGTAAGTGCTCTACCACTGAGCCACATCCTCAGCTGAAGAATGAATTCCAGATACACACGCCTTGGATGAAACTAAAGGGAACTGGGCTGGGCCAAAACTAAAATCTTGCATATTACACAATTCCTAACGTTCTTGAAATGACAAAGTTATGGAAATGGAGAAGAGACTAATAGGTAGGTGGCAGAGGTTATAAAAGGAAGGTAGCGTGGCCATAGAAGGACATCACGCGAGATCCTGTGGTGATGGAGATGCACATAGCTTGACTGTATCCATGGCAACATTTCAGCTGTGATATGGGACTAGAGTTTTTGCAAGAGGCTACCCCTGCAGGAAATTAAGATTAAGGGGTACAGAAGGCTTCTCTGAGCGGTTTCTTACAATTGCATGTAATTTTTTGGAAGTCCAGGAAAAAGAGCTGAGACAAGATTAGCTTTCAACTGGCAACTCAAATCTGGGAGATGGATATTTGGGGTTTACTCAATGATTTGCTTCACTTTTGTTTATATTTGAAATTTTCCATAATGAAAGGGTTTAGGAAGAGTTATATAAAAGACAACTAGGCATGGTTGCGCATGTCTGCCATTCCAGTACTTGGGAAGCCGAGGCAGGAGGATTGCCAGATAAAAGGTCAACCTAGGCATATTGAACAAAAGAACAGTTTTTTCCTTTTAAAAACAATTGTTCATGGTGTACTTATTTTAATTTTTTTTTTCAGGTCAAAAGATTAAACCCAAAGTCTCCCAAAAGTGAGTCCAGTCTTTGCAGTGGGCTATACCTGAGTCCTACTTATGCTTCTGAATTAGTTTTAACTTCAATTTCCCAAGTTCTAAATAATATTACAAAGGGAACTGTTGTAGATAGGGGCTTGCAAGGGGAACAATACTAGATACATAATTTATAATTGTCACCCAAAGAGTCATATGCACTGAGAGTGCAGAAAATCTGTCCACACACTAAACCTAGAGCTCATAACGATGACCCCCACGAGTCTACCTGGAGGCCAAGAGCCCACAACAATGTCTCATGCAGGTCTATTGCACGAGTTTTGCTGGGAAGGCCCAAAAGTCAGTGGTGGAAGCTAGAAAATCTTTGCCAGCAGGATGAAGGATCTGTGCCAGGAGCCAGGAAGCAACGCTCAAAGACAGAACCAGAGCTCCCTTGAAAGGGACCACAGCCGTCATCCGCGACAATGAGGTCCCAAGCCCCTCCAGGAGAACAGCCCAAGAGAACCAGCAGCTCTCTACCAGCTTCTAAACGTCTTCCTCTCCATTTCTGCCTCTTATGAGGCCAGCAACACTCCCCAAGGTGGGCTTCCCACAGCCAGCATTACAGGGGTCCAGCTCAGCTGGGTGTTACAAGCTGACCACCAGTGGCCAATACACCACAGGAGCTCTACTACGAATTGGTACATTTCTCCCTTTATCTATTCCTCTTTTTCTCCCGGGATGCAGGATTTCTAAGTAGGGCATGTGGCCTCTGAGAACAGAAATTAAGTTTCTCAGACTCCCTTGGGCTAGGCACGGCCTGGGGACTAACTTCCAGACAGAGGGGACTGAACAGAAGTCCCACCTAAAACCCCTAGGGTGCATCCTTTGGCATCTTCTGCACCCCCTTTCTGCCAGTTGGATACAGAGACAGCACGAGCCACCTGAGGCGCCAGGGAGGAAGCGCACAGTGCCACAGGGCAGGGAGCATGCAGAAGCCCAGACAACATCCTAGGGCAGAGCTGCTATTCCACCTCTGGGCTTGGTAGAAGAAAACAACAGATCTTAAGAGATTGTTAATATAAAGTGCAGTTTTGTCCCAGCTAACCAGTTAGTATTATAAGTTTACGTATTAAGAAATAGTGGGGGAAAAAAAGAAATAATGGGGCCGGCTAAATAGCTCAGTCGATTAAAGCACCTGCAAGCAGGCGCAGGGGCTGGGGATTCAATCCCTGGGTCTGCTGTGCTGGCCCCGCCCCTGGGGCGCACTGAGATGGCGACTGAGACTCAGTGATTGAGACTGGGTGTGGTGGTGCGTGCCTATAGTCCCAGCTCTTGGGAGACTAAACAGGCAGATCACTACAAATCTGATCTAGTAGTGAGACCCTGAACATCCTGTAGACCCTTTCCTAAAAACACACACATATATACACACACACACACAAAAGAAATAATGTATTTACTGTATTTAGCTTTTCTTAATTGAAAAACTAAATAATATATTACATTTCACTGCTTACTTTCCCCCCTTAGATTTTTGCCATTTTCTTTGAAAAAACATCCTATTATTATAAATTAAGCAAACATTTAAGTATTTCTGGGGTCCTCACTGGTAGAGCTGGCTTGCAAGTATGAGGCCCTGGGTTCGGTTCTCAGCACCAAAACATTGTTTAAAAAACCCAAGGCAACAAGTGGTTTTTTCCTTTCCTTCTTTTTTTTTTTTCCTCATTGTTACTCTAAGCAAGCTCCTCCTCAACTTAATTCTAACTGCGAAGCAAGATTTTTACCAGTTCTACACTGCAAGAATTTTTGTCCTCATGTATCATTCCATTTGGGTAGTTTTAAAAAATAGTGCCAAAGCCCTTATTAGGAAACTCATGCTGAAGAATCTAGTGGAGTCTCACATGAGCGCTGGAACAGCCGAGACCTGGAAACCCTTCAGAGACCACAGTGCTGTGGTTACCTAACGTCTGAGGTCAAGCGGCAGGAGCAGCAGACTGTCCACAGCCAGTGTATAATTAAAGTTGAAGTTTCTGAGATGTCTGAGTTTTTATAACCAGAATGATACTCAAATCATATCCTGCATGCAAGCACTGCTTTCTCTTTATAGTGCTTAGGTTCAGGAAACATATCTATACTGTTAATATAATCCGTCTCGTATTCTCGTTGTCATGTAGATGCCACACCCAGGGGTCTTTGCTTTGCACATTACTGTCCTCAAAGTGACAAGGATGGTAAAAGGCACACAGTGGCATCTAAAGTCTATTATTATTATTATTATTATTATTATTTTATAATAATTACATTTTAATGTACTTGGTTGTTACAGGGTCTCATTACACAGCTCAGACTCCTGGTGATCTTTCTGTTTTTCAGCCTCCTCAGCACTGGGATTACAGGCGTGTGCAACTACTCCCGGACTCTATGGCCGTCTCTGCCCAGCTTAGGCGCAGAGCTGGCAGGGCATGTGGTGCCAGGGATTGAACCATGGTCCCTGCGCTTGCCTAAGCAGGCGCTTTAGTCCACTGAGCTATCTCGCTGCCTCCTTATAATCTATTACTGAATAGGGCTGGGGAGATGGCTTAGTAGAATAAACGCTTCCTTGGCAAGGGCCTGAATTCAATCCCTGGTTCTGAAAAAAAGAAAGACAAAAGAAAGAAAGAAAAACCAAATAAGCACTAATACAATTGTACTGGGGTATCTTGATACCCCATGGTCACAAAAAGACACACTAATGAGAGAAAAAAAAATCAACAATGAAATAGTAGAATTGAGACAAACTTTTGAACAAATGGACTTAGTAGATGTATATAGAGTATTCTACCTCACAGCATCAGAATAGACATTGTTCTTAGCTTCACACAGGATGTTCTCCAAAACAGACCACATACTAGCTCACAGAACATGCTTAAGTAAATGTAAAGGAATTGAAATTATCCCATGTATATTATCAAACCATAGTGTAATTAAATTGAAGATCAGTGGCAAAAGAAACCACAAGAGATTCACAAATATATGGAAATTAAAAAGCACCCTCCTGAACCACCAGTGGGTCACAGATAGAATTAAAGAATAAATTCGGGTCAAGGAGGTAGCTCAGCAGCACAAGCACCTACCTGGCAAGCACAAGGTCCTGAGTTTGATCCCCAGTGAAATACTAACAACAATTCAACATACCAAAATTTATGGGACACAATGAAAGCAGTTCTAACAGAGAAATTTATAGCAGTAAATATTCATATCAGAAAAACAAAGCAAGCACTTTTAAACAGCTTAATGTTAAAACTCAAACTTCTAGAAAAAGAGTGGGCTAGACCAAAAGCTCCTATGAGGGAGGATATTATAAGGATCAGAGCAAAAATTAACACATTGGAGGCTAAAAAACCAATAAAATGAATCCATGAATTGAAAGAGTTAATATACAAAAGAAATAAAATATACAAAGGAAAATATACAAAGGAAAGAAAATATTCAAGTTCATGCAATTAGGAATGAAAAGGGCAAAATCACAATGGGCCCTGCAGAAATCCAGAAGATCATCCATACCTACTTTGAAAACTTGTATTTTATTTTATTTATGAATTTAGGACAGGGTCTACAGGGTGGACAGGGTCTCACTATAAAGATTGAACTTGGAGTGATCCTCCTGTTTTCAGCCTCCCAAACTCTGGGATTACAGGTGCGCGCCAGCACACCCAGTCTCAATCGCCATCTCAGTATGCCCCAGGGGTGGGGCCGGCACAGTGGGCTGGGGATTGAACCCTGGCTGCTGCGCTCTGCTGAAGCAGGCACTTTAGTCCACTGAGCTATCTGGCCATCCCTGAAAACTTGTATTTTAATACAATGGAAGAAATGGAAAGATTTCTAGATACATATGAATTACTAAAGCTCAATCAAGAAGATAGAAAAATCCTAAATAGGCCAATATAAATCAATGAAATCAAAGAATTAAAAACCTACCAACAAAGGAAAGCCCAGACCCTATGGATTTATTGCCAAATTCTACAAGGAATTTAGGGAAGAACTAAAACCATGACTTCTCAAACTCTTTAATGAAGTTGAAAAGGAAGTAATACTCCTGAATTCATTCTTGGAAGCAAGCACTATTACCC